TCCAGCGCCGGCCATGACAACCGGCGGACCGCGCTCCACGCATTATGGAGCGACGGCCTGCCTGCCTCCAGCGCCGGCCATGACACCGGCGGACCGACGCTCCTCGCATTATGGACGAAGGCGCCTGACATCGGGGCGTCGCTGCCTCAGGACGCGGACCTGAGAGCTGACACTTCCTGCGGAGCGTGTCAGGCAGAGTCCGCCGCAGCTCACGTGACCTGAGAGCTGACAACTGTGGAGCGGTGTCAGGCAGTCCGCGCCTCAGCTCGTGACCTGAAGCTGACAACTGGGAGCGGTGCCAGGTGACGCCCGCCGCAGCTCACGTGACGTGGGGAGCTGACAAATGTGGAGCAGTGTCAGGCGGAGCCCGCCGCAGCTCACGTGACGTGGGAACCGGATGGATGCTCAGTCTTCCGAATTGATGTGCAACCGGATGTTCAGCCTCCGTGCGCGACTGTATGGAGAACTAGTGGTGTCATTTTGTTCGCTCCCCATCGCACGTCACGCAAGAACCATTGCTTCATAGCCACGCGAAATATGCAGACTGCACCGCTGGCCGCTGACCGGCTTCACGGGAGGGTCGCAAGCCTCAGCCCCCGGGCAGACTGCACCGCTGGCCGCTGACTGGCTTCACGCGAGGGTCGCAAGCCTCAGCCCCCCGGCAGACTGCACCGCTGGCCGCTGACCGGCTTCACGAGAGGGTCACAAGCCTCAGCCCCCGGTAGATGTTAAATTTAGTTTTGGCTCTTGGGAGAAAACAAAAATTATTAAATCACGGCTTGAGGCGAGAACAAACTAACCCAGGTGAATTTAACCGCATTCACAGCTGGCCCTAAAGGACATTTTTCTGGCAGCAAATGACAGTAAACACCATGCTCTAACTGGTCTCAGTGATTGCCAAAGACCATAAGAGATTGGCTGGTTGCAATCTATGTAAATGTCTAGTTTCCTAAGTAAGTGCTTCCCTTCACACGTCTTTGTTCACACCCTACTGTATTTTTTGAAGCTATGGAGCTGATAGAAAGTTTGATGGTATTGATAATTCTATTGTAAAGGTGTCAGTTCCCAATTAAGGCTATAGAAACCAATGTTTAAAATGTTGCTGCACCTGTTGCACCATCACCATTCAGATCACAGCATGACAGATTTATAATTGAAAAATCATGCAAGCCGCAATATAAAAAGGAGCATCTTGGGTAAAGTCGTTAGTGCAGCTTACGTTTCTATCCAAGGAGTACGCTCTTTTTCACCTAAGGGAAAGATTCTGGGGCGATGTGATACCCGCCTAGGCTTTTACTTACCTAGATATACTTAATTGGGGCAGGTGGGTGTGGGTTCCTCCTTCCTCTTTACTTGGATGGGATGCTAGCCCCTCCTCAGATTTGAGAAGGAACTTGGTCAAAACCGGAGGAGAACATGGTTTGCACCATTTATTGGGTTAAAAGATTTCTCTGCTCATCCACCTCAACAAAGTCATGTACAAAACTACCCACCTGGGACGCCAGGCTGCTGCGTGATCGGGACCTGGGAGGGGACGTCAACGCAGCAGGGGCGGAGGAATATTTCTTCTTCACAGAGCAACCCCGTCGTACAACGTTAGCATCGCTACGTCTTACTCCACCGGTGTGTTGAGTCTGATACAATACTTTTCTCAGTGTATGACACTGAGCTGAATTTATTTATTGTCTTTATCTATACTACCAACCAGTCGCGTCGCGCTATCACTGTCCGCACGCGGCTCCTCCAAAAAAGGTCGGAAGGCTATATAAATGACGCGCACGAAATAGCAGTCTTCAACGAGAGAACCGCTGAAAGTTATTTATCGGTTTTGATATTGACTTTTTAGGACCTTAATGATTTTGTTAAAACATTATTCATTAGTAAAACCCCACTCCAATGAAAGGTAACTTTCAAAACACATAAATAATCATACAAATACAAAACCACAAGTTTCTTCTCAACGGAGAACAAGAAACCCTGCTTTAGCTTTATACTCAGATCATGATTATGTGGCGACGCTCTGTAGATCGATAAAAATTATATGTTTTTGTTTAGTGCTCCTTTTATTATGCATTTTCATCACGTATTCAGCCCAGATTTCTTGGTAGAGAATATGCCTTCTTTTCAATGCTAAATCTTCCCCACGAGCTGGAGACTCGCGGAGCCGTGCTTTTCCGCATCCCCACGCGAGTGTTTGGGGTGGTGTTTGACGTCACCATTATACCTTCTATAAAAGGCCCATCTTTGATAGCTTCAGATGAAACTTTAAAAATGGTACCATTTGGAAAGAATAAAAATTAACTTTCCATCAATCTATGATTAATTCACACTACATTCAGAGGTATATGCTACTATGACATTATATATTTTCGTATCAATTTTTATTGTGTTATTATGATTTCTACGTGCAATCCAGAAACATTGAATCGTGATGTATACGAGATATTCTCTGCGCTTCTTCCTGGACCGTCAAGAGGCGTCGTTGTTTTGAGTGCGGGCTCGGGCCCGGCGTATGAGCACATCGGTGTCGTTGGATGGTAGGTGGGTTAAACGTATGCTGGAGAGCAGCAACGGACCTGGGCAATGAATTTTTTTTACATGATTTCCATTGTACATTTGTGGAGAACAAAATGTCTTCGGGCCAAAAACACCAAGGAACGCCCATGTTTCAAACACTGGCTCCCGGCGCTGTCTTTGCCAAGCGTCACGGGTCTCAGCGGCGCCACGTAGACGCGGATAAGTGGCGACCGAGCCGTCGAAGGGTGACACAGTAGCCCATGCAGTCAGACTATGGTACCGTCGCGACACTGGTCGGGATGGAAGGCTGTGCTTTCTCTCAAACTTTCGGCGGCGACCGGCCATCCCAGACGGGGAGGGGGGGGGGGGGCATGTAACGGCGCACGCTGTAAACGTCTGAGGCTGAGCACCGTGGTATGCTCCCAATCGTTGGAGTACAAGGCGGCTGATCTAAACTCCAGGCTCGCTCACAAAAGACCTGCCTTGAGAAGTCACACAAAGCCAAGTTCAGCAGCCAAAGACCAAAGCCCAAGGAGCAGCAAACGACCACCTCGCAGTGCAGCCCGTCGTAGGTTTAGCACACGAATATGATGTGAATGTTCAAAAGTGGCTGTCCCTCCAAGAACTGTCCAAACACCGCAGATACCCATCAAGTCACGCTCGAGTACTTCAAAAGCCACCCAATGCAACGCTAACACGGCACAATCTCCGGCACTCATACAAAGGCATTATAGACCTCTGCGATGTAGGCTCGAGGATTTGGTCAAGTGCCTCCACTTAGATTAAATAGATCGTAGCCACTTTCGGACCAGTCATGCACTTCAACCTCACAGCGTGCACTTGGGCGCGTGCAGTCAGGTACTTGGTTCGATACTTGACTACGGCGCGGGACAGTTAAGGTTAGTAAATACATGGCGCATTTCGAGGAACCCAGGTCGTTCCAGTGAGCAATGACTTTGACTTTGGTCGCCGACTTTGCTTAACTCGGTTGCGATAATGATCGACTGCCAACGATCAGTCATCCCGCGAAAATACCAATATGGCGACACTAACAGTAAGGGGCTACACCAAAGCTTCGCCCTCTCGGCGGTAGGTGGCACACGGATCGGGACTAGCCGCTGGTATTCCGATAGCCAAACCACGCACAGTTGCGTCGGCTCGCTGCGTATGGGCCTGGCAGCCCCCACACCTACCTCTCCGGTGACTGATTCAGCGCCGGACACCATGTGTCCGTGGCACGTGCTCGTGAGTCACTGACCTGGCGGATGATGGAGCAGGAGCCGATGGGCGACACGCTGCTCTCCCACTTGTTGGCCACCTGGATGGTTTCCGAGGTCTTCTGCTGCAACGACTTCGATTCGTCCAGGAGGGTCAGCTCGTAGAATTCTTGGATGTCTGCAGACAGGACACGGACGCACATTGTGAGAATATTGAGCCTAGCGTGTGTCATGCCGAGGGAAGCAGGTGGGGGGCGTGTCTGTTGGAAAGGTTCTAAACACTGACAGTGGCAAATTTGGTAGCGCTAATCCCTAAGTGCCCAGGCGACATAGCGACATGTTCGCTATGAAGTAGATGAGCCATACATGTAAACTATTCTCAGTCATTCTGAACATGAATATGAAGAGCAGCCTAGACTCTTGAGCAAAAGTCACTTAATTTGAAGTTAAACGTGCGTGATACAGTGAAGCCCAAGAAAAAAACCTCAGGTAGATGCTAGCATTGTTCACAATACAGTTTTGACCTTATGAAATTAATTCACCGAGCACTCACTGAATCAATAAAACATAACAGCTTTCCAGGTGTACTTGGACGCACTGAAGAACCATACGGAGCGCGCCTCGCGGAGTACAGTAATGCATGGACGCTTCAGCGTGGGCCAACGCCAGTAACACTGCGTACTGATAAGTCACCCCACGACCTTACACTGGGATATCGACATATCAAGAGCATGGCTCGAAGATTATGTCCCAACGCCCAGCCCACGTCCACAAATTCGCTTTAACGCAGCACGCTCATGCCCACAGTTCAGTTGATGCTGAACGGGCAGCGCCCAAACCGATTTTGTGTACAGGCGGCCACGCGCCTCATTGGAACAAGACAAAAACAGAGTAAAGCACCCATCACGCAAACACAACGCGATGGATTCACTTATTCCGCTTCGAAACTAGTGCCTCTGCATCTGCCCCTGAATCCGCTGGTGGATGCCAATGCTTTGTCCTGGTGTATCCCCGATTCAACAGCGCTGATCTGGATGACCTGTCCATGTACGCAGCACGGGGCCGGGCCTGCAGTCTGCCGAGGATTGGCGCCCGGCAGTCGTCTGCAATCGCGTTAGCCGGGAGTGGCCACGGCCAGGGCCGGCCCAGAAGACGCCATCGTTTGCCTCGAGACCGTCGGCCCGGCCCAGCACCCGCGCCGCCCTGGCCCCGGCGAATCGATGGCCCCCATCAGCGGCGGCAGCCAACCCCGTCAGCAGGTGCCCATCGCACGCGTCACGGCTGAGACAGTCAGGGGCGAGCGGGCGGCCAATCAGAGCAGCGACAGCTCGCCGATGCGATGACGCACTTGTCGGGCTGATAATGGGAACGGAGGCGGGGAGAGAGGACGCTCAACGCAGCGATGGCGCATTCGTCGGGCTGCCGGTGGACACGGAGAGGCGGGGAGAGAGGACACTCAACGCGGCGATGGCACACTCGTCGGGCTGGCGGTGGAAACAGAGAGGCGGGGAGACAGCGCTCAACGCAGCGATGGCACACTCGTCGGCCTGCCGGTGGACACAATGGAGCGGGGAGAGAGGACGCTCAACGCAGCGATGGCGCACTCGTCGGGCCACCGGTGCACACAGAGAGGCGGGGAGAGAGGACACTCGACGCAGCGATGGCGCACTCGTAGGGCTAGTGGGAACAGAGGCGGGGGGAGAGAGGACACTCAACGCAGCGATGGCGCACTCGTCGGGCTGATAATGGGAACAGAGGCGGGGAGAGAGGACATTCCACGCGGTGATGGCGCACTCATGGGGTTGATAATGCGAGCAGAGGCGGGGAGAGAGGACACTCAACGCGGCGATGACGCACTCGTCGGGCTGGCGGTGGAAACAGAGAGGCGGGGAGACAGCGCTCAACGCAGCGATGGCGCACTCGTCGGGCTGGTAGTGGGAACAGAGAGGCGGGGAAAGAGGACGCTCAACGCAGCGATGGCGCACCCGGGCTGCCGATGGACACAGAGGGGCGGGGAGAGAGGACGCTCAACGCAGCGATGACGCACTCGTCAGGCTGCCAGTGGACACAGACGCTTGAGGAAGAACCGTGAAGCGCCGCCGCCAAGAACTGTCACCGATGCGAGACGGCGTCGATGTTGACCGAACGCTGCCGGAACGAGTTGAGCACATAATGCTACCTTTCATAATATTAAAGGTGAAAGACGTGGCCAAGCAAGGCCTCCATATCCTGTTCATGATTCGGGAGAGGGAACATCTGAATGAATGGTGCTCACCGACACCTGGTTTTCAGTAGCGCATGCACAAACTTGGCATTTCGTTCTGGTCGATGCCGTACTTTTTTTGTCTGCTGCTTGATTTGCACACGTCGATATTCTTGCAGTCGTACTCGCAATGAAGCCAACATGAAAGGTTAGTACCTGTCATAAACGCACAACACTGCAGCAGAATTTCTCGTCACAATTATTTTCTCAGTCTATAAATATTAGAGCGAGAAAACTCGTTCAGCGGCCCTTCCATCACTCAAACACTGTTTGCATCGTCTCTTTCCGCAATGATTCCATGAAACCGCGAATGCCACCCACACTGTGAACGTCTGCAGCATGTGGCATGTACGCCGTTTTCAGACAAGAACATTATGAGCACTGACACTATAAGGACGCAGGGCGTGTTTTTCTTCACAGCCGAGGTGCTGCGGCGGCCACACGCCATCAGCTCTGTTCAATCCCTCGACCTTTACACAAACAGATCTCCACCTATAGCAGGCCCCTTTACCGGAAGCAAGTGACCTCAGCTCACCTTTGGTGTAGCCATGGCACTGATGGTCCTGAAGTGTCAACAAATCTGGCGAACATAAACCTGCGCTATTGCGACGTTTCGCGACGCTTAACCGTGAATCTAAGCACCGGTGGGGGAACGGCACACAAACCAGATGAGTATAAGCTTTGACGAAGGGCCTATGTGCATCGTGTTATCATAATTTGCCTGAAATCTGTGTGTACCAGTGGTCCATCGGCAAAAACCCAGCCGTCTGTTCAAAACCGCCCAGCGTATCGAACGAAACACGAATGTATCCAAATTTCGGCGTATTGGAGAAATGTCATAAGATCATACACATCGAATGAATACCTTGAACGCTTTCAGCGTATCCGATTGATGCGTTGAAATGCATTGGCAGGCAAATTGTGTGCAGCACGCGTTTGCCCAGGAATCGGTAAGCTTTTTCGGCGGGGCGATGGTACAGACACTTCAGATCAAGAGCTCGCTTGTGCTGAGGTTTTAGCACACAGGGCGATGTGCTGAAAGTTGAGCGCGTCAGCTTACATCCGGCCGAATATTACAGCTTCGACGCGTCTGCTGCATTGCGCCGGACCGGACCGGACCACCGGACGTGTTGGGCCGGACCGGACCGGACCACCAGACGCGTTGCATCGGACCGGATCGGACCATCGGACGTGTTGCGCCGGACCGGACCGGACCACCGGACGTGTTGCGCCGCACCAGACCGGGTCACCGGACGTGTTGCGCCGCACCAGACCGGGTCACCGGACGTGTTGCGCCGCACCAGACCGGGTCACCGGACGTGTTGCGCCGCGCCAGACCGGGTCACAGGACGTGTTGCGCCAGACCCACCTCACGATGACGCGTCTTTCGTCAGTCTCGGGTTCAACTTCTGGTCGCTTGATATTGACAGCCGAACCAACTGCCACGAAAAAAGTGAATAGTTTTCGGGAATAAACTTTTCTCCTTCGTTACCACGCCATCAAATCTGCTTGTGACAATTATTAGTAGTACATCTCAATCATGTAGATAGATGATTGGGTAAATTACATCCATTTTAATGAAAGGGATGCTGCAACTGCAGCAACACACCATGTTTAAAAAAGGCGTTTTCAAATTTATAAATGGGTGCAATCCATTTGTGCCCACATCTTTATCCTACATTTTACAACTGGTCATGATGACTGATCTGTCACTTCCTGGGGATCGGACCCGGCGCGCACACTCGCTCATCGCTAACAACGTGACTGGTTCAAAAGTACAATCCGAAAACGAAAACAAAACAAAAGACGACTATTTTGGTAACAGCGCGCTCTATCCGGTTTAACAGACTTAATTCCCTTGGACTCAGAGAATATAAATCATGATATCAAGCGACATCATTCGCAAATATGCACGAAGGCAAGGCTTTCTCAATTTCTGAAATCCTGCCACAAGACAATAGCAGCGCACTAGAGCACTGAACGTATCTGGTTAGTACAAGCAATGCCATTTTTGTCAGCATCTGTGAGGATAAAACTATTCGTTCATTGTACCCTGAATAATTCATAGTTAACCATGCACGCACAAGTAGGATACCTGCGAGCAGATCAAAAGGTAAGCTGAACTTGCTGCGTCCAACCAGAACCCATAAGAAAGGCAATCAGTGCAAATAACTTTGCTCCTGTCTTTTTTAGCCAGATGTGGCTTCGGGCGCGGGGCGCCTTTTTCGCCAACCACGGCACGACCGGACCGCAGCAGCTGCTCTCAGGCTCGTGGTCAGCTGACACCTTCGTGCCGGTCAGGCGGGACGACGTGCATGCTCTGACACTCATGGGCTCGTGGTCGTCTGACACCTCCATGCCGGTCAGGCGGGACGATGTGCATGCTCTGACACTCATGGGCTCGTGGTCGGCTGACACCTCCGTGTCGGTCAGTCGGCTGACACCTCCGTGCCGTAGAACCGTGCGTTTGCGGGTCCAGCAGCCTCACAGACGCTAAATAGTCACCCGCAAGCAATTGGGAGACCTATCATGCCGCATGTCCACACGCTGGCCTGGGTTAGCGGTTTTGCAAAACAGGCTGGGAGATCTGTACACGGTCCAATGTCATTGGACACCCCCAAATGCTGTTTTCCTCGTCTTTGGGCGCCTATATTTATGCTATCATTTGGATGGCACGGAAAAATCAGCTCCATGCTTTGTTTATTTCCGGGTTTGTCGCTCAGATTTCCATGAGCATTGTGTCCAAGGTTCGAAGGGTTCTGTTAAATTGGGGGGGGGGGGGGTCCGGGCTCAGCTGCAAGTTGATGGGGGGAGGGGAGGGGAAGGGGTCCACCCGACCAGGTCAAGTCCCCTACTGAGAACGACCCATCGGCCTCCACCCGCAGCCCATAGCATTTATCAGAGCACAAAGAACG